CCGGGTCTAGCTACCGACTCCAATAAGACTCGTCTGTATTTAGCAGCCTCGACGTGCTCTTCAGTTCCGAATATTCGCGGCTTCCCCACGTCAAGCCTGCCTTTTTCCACCCACAACCCTCCCAGGCCCCCTTATCCAAAGTCCTCCACCCCGCGCCTGTAGCACTGCCATAAACACCACAATCCACCATGGCGGAATTCGTACGCGCCCAGATTTTTGGCACCACTTTCGAGATTACCAGCAGGTGCGGAACATGCCCCACCTCGTCACCTCCGCCTCTGCTAACATCCCACAGATACACCGATCTGCAGCCTGTCGGCATGGGCGCATTCGGTCTCGTTTGGTACGATTCCATCCATCTTCGCGAATAACTCAGTATTGACTTTTGCCGCAGCTCAGCAAAGGACCAGCTCACCAACCAGGCGGTGGCTGTTAAGAAGATCATGAAGCCCTTCAGCACCCCAGTTCTGTCCAAGCGGACATACCGAGAACTGAAGCTCTTGAAGCACCTTCGACACGAAAATGTGGGCAATTCTGCTGCGAAGCCTCGAAACAAAACTCTGACCCCACCCAGATCATCAGCTTGAGCGATATCTTCATCTCTCCCCTTGAGGACATGTAAGTAGCCCAATTACGACCAGCCATGAACATGTTCTGATCCTGATCAATTCAGCTACTTCGTCACTGAGCTCCTCGGCACCGACCTCCACCGTTTGCTCACCTCGAGGCCGCTCGAGAAGCAATTTATCCAATACTTTCTCTATCAGATTTTGGTACGTAGCAGAAGCCAAGGAGATAAATTTTGGCTGACTCGAGGAGCGTGGATTGAAATATGTCCACTCCGCTGGTGTGGTGCACCGTGATCTCAAGCCCAGCAACATCCTCGTCAATGAGAACTGCGATCTCAAGATTTGCGACTTCGGTCTCGCCCGTATACAAGACCCCCAGATGACAGGTTACGTCTCGACGCGATACTACCGAGCACCTGAAATCATGCTCACGTGGCAAAAGTACGACGTGGAGGTTGACATTTGGAGCGCGGGATGCATCTTTGCTGAGATGCTCGAGGGCAAGCCCCTTTTCCCTGGAAAGGACCACGTAAACCAATTCTCCATTATCACGGAGCTTTTGGGCACTCCCCCAGATGATGTCATTCAGACCATTTGCAGTGAAAACGTAAATACGCCCAACCGAAACCGCGAGGAGCTTTGGCTAAAACTATACAGACACTGCGATTCGTTCAATCGCTTCCCAAGCGCGAGAGGCAGCCATTGGCCAACAAGTTCAAAAACGCTGAGCCTGACGGTTAGTGCTGAAAATTTGATGCCCAGAGTACCAGACTAATTTTCCACAGCGGTTGATCTTCTAGAAAATATGCTGGTTTTTGACCCGAGGAAGCGCGTACGAGCAGAGCAGGCTCTCGCCCACGCATACCTTGCGCCATACCACGACCCGACCGATGAGCCGGTAGCCGACGAGAAATTCGATTGGTCGTTCAACGACGCGGACTTGCCAGTCGACACCTGGAAGATCATGATGTAGGCTCACAACTAGGAATCCCACAGAACACAAGAAGCTGACTTATTCGCAGGTACTCGGAGATCCTCGATTACCACAACGTTGATGCGGCAGTACCGGAGCAGGAGAACAACGGCAGCTAATCGCCAATGGATGTCCCGAATTCAGCCATAATACTTTTACAGTTCCCAGCATCGAGTCATGTAGTTTATCAAAGTTCGATGTATCATCTGCGTGGAGAAGGCGGATTTGGCTTTTCTCAAAGATTCCCAAGGTCTCGTTTGGTGGACCCATGTGACATGAAAGTGCGGAGGTAGATGGACATGGGTGTTATTTTTGTCTTTTGAATTATCAATGCTCGTACACGAAAGGAATGTTTCATGACACGACTGGGCAATGCGCTAGCTTAGGTAAGAATATGAGATTATGTTGTTAATAGTACTTTCCAGTCTGGTGGTCTTGGTGATGCATCTGCTCAAAGGTGGCTGATGAGGTAGCGTTCGCCGAGGCTAGTGACCACCTAAAAAGGCCTAGCCCCATAAGGCTGGCTGATGGTGGGACGGGTGTTGTTCGTCACCGCTCGCATCGCGTTCCCCAACTATGCATAGGACGTGAGCCCGGCCCCTATGGCCTTGGATTCTTTACTTTCGAGAACCTGACCGCCGTGCGACATCTCCAAGAGCGCACAACCATGGCGGCACTTAATCCGCTTGTGTGTGTGGTGGATTTTCATCATGCGCGGTAAGCTCAGCTACTATTTCACAGAGCGGGCAAAGGGGGGGGGTGCTTTGGACCATCTGTACCAGAATAACAAATTTGCTGATGAAAATGCTAGAGGCCCCGAAATCGAACTCTGGCTTGGTGCAGAAGAGGGAACCGACCCAGCAGCTGACAATGACTGGTCCCTCTTGCCCTTCATGGCCCTGAGCGATGGTGCTCATGCCTCTACCGAAGACTACTCCTACTTCACCCTCCGCCATGCACAAACCCCGACCGAGCCCGCAACCTCTCTTTTCGGTATCTCATGTACGCGACAACTCGACGCTAGCAAGCTCATAGACCGGCCAGCTGAGGTTACAAGGAGTACGGTGCAAAAGGCGGTAGTGGTTATAAGCAACAGCCCGCAGCATTTTGGCGCCATCAAGGCACAGTTGAGCGTCGTTACTCAACTATGGTTTGCGCAAAGGTATATTGTCCAAAAGAGAGAGGGGCGGCCATGCGGCTGACACAAACTGCAGAGACTTTAGGGACATTGAGATATTGGAGCGGTTCACAGAAAGCCTACCCCAGCTGCTTAAGAACCAGGAAGGGCAGCAGGACCACTACTTCGGCATCTCTTTGCGCGAGTTCATACACGAGTTTAAATGGCAGACTCTGGTTCTTTTCAAGTGCGCTTTACTCCAACCAAAGGTACGCTACATTCTGGCAATCGAGAGAGATGGCGCACACAGCTGTCACACTAGTGTTGACACGACACCCAACAGGTCCTTTTCTTCGGCTCTCATTGCGAGCGATTATGCATGATGCAATTTGCTCTTATTTCTCTGATACCCGGCCTTATTCGCCACCTCCAGGATGCTGCTGACCCAAAATTCAATTCGTGCGAGGAGAAGTGTGTCATGCCCACGTCTCTGAAAACGTCAGAACGCGCTTCTTGTTAGTATCCAACCCCCGAAGACGGTCTATTGTGTTAACGAATAGTAGTGCTTGCATACATGGGTCTCCCCCTGCAGTTATTTGGTACAGGCTCGCTATTCGGACCGTATACCCCGCTCCAGCAACTCGATGTTTTAGCAGATCAACACACGAAGTCATACATTGTTGGCTCTACAAATTCATTGTTACTGCAGCAAAAAGATCGCTACAGTGACATTCTCATCAACCTCGATGAACATACGGTGAACATCACTTCGGCTTCACTTCGTCAAGCATCGGTCCTCTCAACGCCAGACCGGCGATGGATTGATTTCCTAACCCAGACAGTCCACGATACATGGGATGAGTCGGACCCGGGGCGGCCCAAGGACCATGGATACGCTGGCAGTGAAGAATTCATCCGCATGCAGTTTGAAGAGTATCTCCTTGCGATGCTAAGCTCAGTCAAATACAAACTATACATGGAGAAGCACGCACACAAAGAGCCCGTAATCACTGATGTTGAGGGCGACCCGGCCAGCGAGTTCTCAAATGACTGGGTACAGGCCTGGATGCAGACGGAGAATTTCCGCATCTGGAACAAATTCACAGACTCACATCTCTTCGATATTGTCGATCCCAAGCATCCCTGCTCGGGTGGTCTCAGCATGGAAGACGTTCAGCGCCGACTAGCACAGTACGTCTCTACTTCTTTTCTTTCGCCTTGCAACACCAACTAAGTCTGTTTTCTTAGTCTTTGGAACAACCCCACATTCCAAGCCGTCTCCGTGGGAGTATGTGTGCTGATTCTCGCTTGGCGATTAGGCAGGTAGCAGAAATGCACCTTGATGAACGACTCGAAAAGAGTAGAGAAATCCTCGGAAAGCAGATCGCTGCAGGGCAGCAGAGGTTCTCCTCCGCCTACAATAGACTCTGGGCGGAGATGGAAGCCATGCGTGAAGCCCAGAAGCAAAGGGCTGAAGAAGCAAGAATTCAGGCTGAGAAGGAGGGACGAGCAGCTGAGGAAGAAAAGAAGTGTAAGCTGTACTGATCAGAGTTTGAGGAGTCCATCCAGACTGATTGACTATAGGGAAATCACCACAAGCTCCGGATCTTTCGCACGCACAAGCGAGGGCCAGTGCCTACTTCTCTAGTTGGGGCACTTGGGCAAGTGAGAAGAGAAAGGGATGGGGCAACAAGACGCCTGTATCCTCACCCACACCTGATGATAGCAAACGAGCCGAAGATTTTAAGAAGGCCAAGGATGCCCTGATTGGTGTGGATATTCCAGCGACTTCACCCCTGCCAAGAGAGATCAAAAGACGGACTTTGGTATTTGATGCTGAGGACAACAAGGCTTATACTGACTACGACTTGGTTGAGACTGAAAACAAAAACGTCAATACTGAGAAGGATACAGATGTGGCCGAGGAGGATAAAGATGGTGCTGAAAAAGAAAAGGATGATGCGGTAAAGGATAAGGATGATGCGGTAAAGGATAAGGATGATGCGGTAAAGGATAAGGATGATGCGGTAAAGGATAAGGATGATGCGATAAAGGATAAGGATGACGTGGTCAAGGACAAGGTTGACGCGGTCAAGGACTAAGCTCTGTTTTGATTCTGACGCAGGGCTTTGCAGTTTGGCGATATGATGATTCGGATTCAAGATAATCAGGGTATCTGTTACCGTTTGATGTGGATATCATGCAACTTGACAATGCGCCTTGAAGTCTCAACAATGTTCATTACATGTATTTTGTAAGCTAGTGTAATCTATGCTCTGCCGTCATCTACATTCATCAATCATCTATAGCGTCTTGACATTTCATCGTATACCATGCCCCATTATGACTTGGCCTTCAGCTTCTCTCCCTCGATGAAATCCCTAATCGTCTGTTCCAGTCCCACATCTTCACTAAACCCCAGCTCCTTCGCTCGAGTGGTGTCGTACTTCGCCGGCCAACTCAACACAATCCTCTCCGTACCCTCATCCCTCTTCTCCTTGACCAACGCCCTCGTCTCCCTCCCCGCAACCTTCTCCAACGCATCCAGAATCTCTCCACTCGTAGCCGTATACCCGGGCAACAATACCTGTCTAAAATGCCCGAACTTTTCCTTTGGCACCTTAACCGCATGCACCAAATTCGCAGCCAACGTCCGCGGCGACGTAAGCCAAATCCCTATCTTCGGGTCCACAGGCAACTCCGCCTCGATGCCTTTCACAGGCTCCCTAACTATCCCAGATACGAAAGATGATGCCGCCGCCGTCGGCGCCCCCGCTCTCACAAAAACAGTCGGGAGCCGCACCGCACGCCCATCGATCAGACCCCGGCGCGAGTAATCGTTAATCAAGAATTCAATCATGAGTTTCTGTGTCCCGTAGCTGGATTCGGGCATGGGAACTACATCCATTTCTGTCGCCACGTTCTCCACGGCTGCGCGCCCGTACACGGCGCACGACGAGGTAAACACTACCTTGATGCCTGGGCGTAGCGTGCGGATTGTGTCGAGCAGCGTGCGCACGGATTCAAAGTTCACAGCAAGACCGAGATCGAGGTTGGCTTCGCTGCCGCTGGACATGATGCCGTGCAAGATGTAGACTGCATCTGGGTTTTGGGATATGAGGGCGGTGCAGGCGGCAGGGGAGGTCAGGTCTGCGGCTGTGCAAGTGACATTTTCTGAGGAAGAGGAGGAGGGGCTGGGGTTGGGGGGTTCGTGAAGGTCGGCGAGGATGAGGTGGGTGGCTGTGTTTGTGGTGAGGAGGTGATGGGCGAGGATTTGGCCGACGAAGCCATTTGCGCCTGTGATGAGGATTTTCATTTTTTCTTCTTGTCTTTGGTCGTGTGTGTGTGTTTGTCTTTTCTTTCCACCCTAGGAGTATATGTAGATATGAGATTGTAAGGATATGGGAGAGTAAGAGTAAGTGAAGAAGAGGGTTTGAAAAGGTTTATTCTGATGGTGTTTTGATAGACCTCGTAATATGAACTGCCATAATCCGCTTTAAGAAGGCTTCAACCTGCTCGGTAATGCTGCCGATTCGTACGATGTGGGACCGGCATTTAGCCCGTTGCCTCTCTTGCTTTCCCCGGGATTCGGGGAGAGCCCCTCCCATTGGAAAGAAAAAAAATCCTCTGCCTCGAGACGAAGAGCAGATCCAACGAGCAGAGTTGGGATGATTGTTCCAAACAAAAAAAAAGTGACAAGGGTTTCGTCCCCCCTTCCGAGTTGCACAACGTCATTGCCAAAGTATAATTTCTGCAAGAGCTTATTTTCCTAGATCTGCAACTGACGCTTACAGGTACTCCCGTACTCTAAAGTCATGGACTGCGGGGCTAGGTTGCAATAGGAAGGTGGACCTATGACTACAATCTTGATCAACGGCCCAATGACAAGGCTGCGCGTAAACCTCGGATGATGTCAAATAACGGGCCTTAAAAAGACGGCTAGGAAAAGTTGGGGCCCCAGACATGTTTTCCGCCGCTATGTGGAGAAATTAGCTACTAGAGCTATTTTGTTATATCCGAGGTATTTAGGAGAGAAGTAGAGTACAAAAGCGCCGGGAGAAGTTTAAGATTCTTAGAAATACATTGATCTCTCGCGCATTTTCTTCGCTCATCATGGCAAGAGTGACGGCATTTCTTTTATGTCTCTCCCAGTTTCCTCTTTGGGCTGCTGCTGGAAGTCCAGCAATTATTCAGACTTCATCGGGCAAGGTCAAGGGTTTCACTGATGATCTGACGCCGAATGTTGCACAATACCTTAGCATCCCCTTTGCAGAGCAGCCAGTGGGAGCACGGAGGTGGTTGCCCCCGACTTCGGTGAAGAGGTCGAACAAGATCATCGAGGCGAATGTGTTGGGTCCTTCTTGTCCTCAGTTCGAGGTTGATAGGCCGAATGTTTGGCTCACCGATGCACCCGAGTTTATCATTACGCCGCGCGATTTCCAATCCGAAGAGTGTCTGAATCTCAATATTTGGGCACCTTTGGCTCAGTGTCAGGATGGAGGCCGCAAGAAGGAATTGCTGCCTGTGCTTGTTTGGATTCATGGTGGAGGCTTTGTGACTGGCGGACCTACTGTTCCGTATCAGGTTTCCTCAAGATGGGTTGAGAGGACTGGAGAGCATATCGTTGTTGGAATCAAGTAAGTCGAAGCAAATAACTCTCCTTCTTTTTTTTTAGAAAAATACTCACTGTGTGCAGCTACCGTTTAAACATCTTTGGTTTCCCCAATTCAAAGAGCCTCAAGGCCAACGAACAGAACCTTGGCTTGTTGGACCAACGCCTGGCTCTGGAATGGATCCGAGATAATATCCGCAACTTTGGTGGTGATCCATCTCGCATCACACTTTGGGGACAATCTGCGGGTGCTTCTTCCGTCGATAACTACAACTTCGCTTATCCTAAAGACCCTATCGTTTCGGGTCTCATCATGAACTCTGGAACGGCTCTGCTTCCTATTGCAAGTGCCGACATCCAACAGACAAACTTCACCTTTGTCGCCAAGCAGTTTGGATGCAGCAATTCCAACCCCAAGGCCGAGATTGATTGCTTCCGACGCGTACCCCATACAGCCATTGAACGCTTCCTCAAGCAGTACGCCGACAACGGCACATCGCCCAGCCTAAGTTTCACACCAGTAGTCGACAACCGCGCGTTCTTCTCAGACGTTACTGCGCGCGCTCTGGCTGGAAAGTTCTCACGCAAGCCTGCCATAATCGGCACGACTTCCGACGAGGGTACCGCATTCGGAGCATACAACAAGACATATGGGCCCATCAAAGCTCAGGCAGACTTTGCAACAGGTCGATTCTTCCTATGCCCTGCTGCGCAAACAACGGACGACCGGTACGTAGCAAACACCACCACGTTCCGCTATCTCTATGCCGGAAACTTTAGCAACATCTCGCCCCAATTCTGGCAAGGTGCATACCACTCGTCTGACGTTCCAATGTATTTCGGCGCCTACGGCATTGCAAGGGGCAATGGCACAGAGTTCCAGCGCAAGGTCAGCGAGCAGGTACAGGATTACTATTTGGCATTCGCCAAGGACCCCGTTCATGGACTGCCCAAGTTGGGCTGGGAAGCATACAAGCCGAGTGGCGAGGCGGTGTTAATTGCGCATGAGGGAGAGGTGGTACAGAACATTGAGGTGAGTAAGTTGAAGACGCCGTGTGATGGTACGACGCCGAATGGCAAGCCTTTGCCGCCATAGAGAGGAGTTCTGTGTGAGTGTGTGTGTGTGTGTGTGTGTGGAGTACCCTACTTGAAAGTAAAAAGCAGTTCTCCGGGTTAATGTTGCTGAATGGATAGTCTATAATTACATATCTTTTTGCTAAGAAATTCGTATCCCTGTATATTCAACACACTCTCCATGTACCCATCCTCTCTCTTGATTGCTAATCTCACTTCGCGTATCGCACCGCTAAAAGTACGATCCATGGGTCCACGATCGAGACCCGCCAGGTATTTCTCCTAGGATTGATCATGGTTCCCATGTAACAGCAAGTACATAGTACAAGGTACATGGTACATGGTACATAGGAGGGATGTGGATCCAGAAAAAGAAATCCACGGACCCATAGACAAAGCTACCTTGCCACAACGTGGTCGACTTGAACGCCGGCCTGAGCGTCCCGATTCCCTGCATGCCTCGATGTGGCGACTTTTGGGGCGTGGGTATGCTCTAGACAAAGAGGAAAGAGAAAAAGCAATAGTTTCGTTATGTACATGTCGCTAAAGCATGGTAGGGAGTTTAATAAGAAAAGTTAAGCCACCTGGATGATGGTTCAGGGTAACCGATGCGAGCCTGGGGTATATGTGTTGCTTTTAAGACCAGATTAGCGAACAAACGATGCATGGTTGATTCCTCTGGGCAGTGCACGGTTGATTGTATTATCTATATCGGTTGGGTGATCGGGAAGGTGCAAGGGGTTCCTGGGGATTGCGAAAAGGATGGGTTGTGGCGTTGGGGTGGCGTTGTGGTCTTTGATCCTTGCAGCTCGAGACGACTGGGATAATGTGATGGATCTGGGCAGGTGGAGCCGATATATCTGAAAAAGAAAAACCACAAGGGTAGCAGTGGAACCCAGGGACTATGCTGATATAAGCGCATAGGAAGTTAGGAGTGGTTCAGGGCACGTGACCTAGTGTGGCTTTCAACAGCTGTGGCTTCCACCTGCCACAGCGGGGTTTGCATGGTTGACATCGTCAAGCTGCAGCACAGGCGCGTTTTAGACAATGTGACGTGACGTCAAGGTGGTGAGTTCCAAGAATGGAGACAAACAAACAGGCTCGAACACGTGGTGCTGCGTGTAGCTCTCAACTGGCTGGGTACTTTTGCTACCAATTGTACTCTTTCTGAGCACTTCCCCATCTCTCTCCCTTTCTCAGACTCTTCTTCCTATTACCTACAACCACAAAGATATCAACTCGATCCCTGCTATTTCGAGCTTACTGTTGATCACCTCAACAACATCTATAGTTCGGGAGAGACGAATTGACAGCACATCATGGCGAACCAGGCACCCGCGTCACTTGTTGACCATCTGACTGCCTCTGGAGGAGCTGAACCCGCAGGTACGAGATACACAATGAAGCATTCAATACCCTGGTCCCGCTAGACACCCCATCTACCCCTAATCAACTCCTTGCATGTGACAAAAGCCGTTACCTACACACCCCAGTTCAGAAGTTGCTAACACGCATCTACCAGGCTTCCTCAACGACATCGTCAAGAACCTATGGCCCAACATCTGTGTAGCTGGTTCCAACATCATCAAAGACACGGTCGAACCAATTCTTGCTACCACACTTCCTGGTCCGTTGGCCAACCTGCGCTTCGTCAAGATTGATTTCGGCCATATCCCGATCGGTTTCTCGAATGTTGATGTTCACAAGACCTCTGCTGGAGGAATCAAGCTTGATATGGATATGAACTGGGAGGGCGTGTGTGACTTTGAGCTTGACGGTAAAATGGTTCCAAAAATAGTATGTCTGGTGTGAATCGAAAGCAGGCCAGGAGTACGACTAACGGGATGTTTAGGGTGTTGAACGAGTTCATATGAAGGGTCGTATCAGCGTCTTGCTGTGCCCATTGGTTAATGTTGTCCCTCTGGTAAGTCATGCATCCAGTAAGCCAATAACCAAAGCGTATTCTAACTCGAACATAGATCGGGGCCGTCCAGATCGCTTTCCTCAACACGCCAACCCTGAAGCTGGACTTCACAGACGCTGCAAACATTGCCGACTTTTCTGTTATCGACAGCACTGTCCGCAAGACCATTCTTGGTGTCATTGATTCAATGGCGGTACTCCCGAACCGCTTCCTAGTCAAGCTGGATCCCAATACCGATTACTTCAAGGCCTTCCAGCCGCACTACGGAGTCGTCCGTGTGACCATTGGCAAGGCGACTGGAATTGACGTACCCAAGCATGGCGAAAAGAAGAGCGGCCTTAAGAAGCTGATGGCAAAGGTCAAGCTCGAAGACGTACCAGACTGCTACGTCAAGGTCAAGGTCGGTGCTGAAGGGGAATGGAAGACTTCAACTGTGGATAACAACCGCGAGCCGGAATGGAACGAGTCCCATGACTTCCTAGTTACGGACTTCGAGCAGGACATTACCGCAGACATCCAAGACGAAGACATGGTTGGTGATGATGACATGGGACTCGGATCTACGACAATCAAGGAAATACTCCTCAAGGGCGGTACACAGGAACTCGTTCTCACGCATAAGGGCCAAGAGACTTCAGGCAGGCTCGTGATCCACGCCAAGTTCTTCCACCTTGTCAACGACGCACAGGTGCTATCTTCCCCAAGC